AAACCATTTCAGGTGACTACCTCTTGAAGCTCATGGAGAGAATGCCAAGAGTGTGCAAAGCAGTAATCAGAGCAAAGGGTGGCTATTTTGAAGAAACTAGAATATAAAACATGTTTTCAGTTATTTCACCTTTTTTTGTTAAGTACATAACTCCACATGTGTACATTCATAGTTTTGATGCCTTCAGTGAGAATCTACAATGTAAATAGTCATGAAAATAAAGAAAACGCATTGAATGAGAAGGTGTGTCCAAACTTTTGGCCTGTACTGTATGTTATTTTAATATCTACTAAAGCCATAGAAACAGAATGAGAGTAGAACAGACACTTTGCTGTGGTCATTTGACTAGTGCAAAAGAAAATGCAGATAGTTGTTAGTTGTTATGGTGGGGGGACCACTTCTACCTTTTCTTATAGCCGCCAGCCACTGGTCATGTGTGTCCATGACAATAGTGTGTAAAAAATATTCTTCTAATAATATTCAGCAACTGTGACTTTAAGTGACAGGAAACTGAAGCAAAAAAATGTCACAATTAACCCTGAGACAGAAAATAACCTCAGAGTCGGTTTAACAAGCAAGTTTTTAATGATCTCTGGGTTATTCTAAAAGTGAAAGAGAAGAGATACATTAAGGAAGAAACTGTGAGGAGCAGGGAGGGAAAAGGCAGTAAAGACTGTTTCTGATTTTCCTCTCTGTCTGTTCATGACACACATTATGCAGACATGGTACTTAAAATGAGAAGATAATTTCCCCTTAACTCAAGATGCATATACATACACTATAGGAATTTGAAAGTGGATACTATAAATGTAGAGATTTAGTCATGCCAAGTGTATGATAGTGTGTATACCGAAATGCCTTGTACATCATCAGTTATTTGAATAAAATATTTAATATGTTAATATTAAATGTCCTCTCTTGTTGTCTCTGTCTTCTTTTAATTCAAAATCAAATGGGCTTTGTGGTATGAGTAGCCTATTTGATCCCAGCACAAATCATGTAAATCAATAAGGATTAGCAACAGTCTCTCTCTTTGTCCTTTACCTGCTATGCTCTGCACAAGTACTCTATGTGCTGGGGATTCTTTTTAGCATTGGAGCCTGTCGTAAATGGACACATTAAGAAAAAAGAACATAGTGTGTTTGTTTATGCGGTGTCTTGCTGTGAGGACAACAGAATGAATTCATGACCAAACTACTGAAAAATTACACAGTTGTTGAAAGACATGCTCTGCCCTGAGTCGCCTGTTCCTATCTGCTGATTGAGTTAAGTTTCTACCAAGCTGTGATTTGAAAACACTCCTGCAGATTACAGTGCGACAGCATTGCTTAATGAGGACTAATACACTGTTGGTTGTAACACATTCTCCTGAAGATACAGCAAGTGTCGCCCTGCAGACATAAAACCACATGCAACATTGTAGATTTAATTCGACAGTTCTTATTAAACTAATGCAGTGACTTACTTCTAATTATTTCTAATGTTTCAAAATATTTCGAGAACTCTTAATATCAGGAAAGTTATTATTTCTGTGTCCTGCTAGAATACGACTTGGTGAGATATGGGCTTTTAATAACTGACCAAGGTGTGATACCGAAACTCATTTAACATTCCATGTTTTTTTGGAGAGAAATATTTGATAGGTTTGTTAGTTGCCAAATTAGGCTTTGTGTTACCAGATTAGTGATATTTCACTCTGCTATACTAAAACTGATACTAACAATGAGGTGATGATTGGTGAAGCTCAAACTAGATGGGACCTTTTGTCATTTACGAGTCAACAATGTGGAAATCTATAGATTTGAGCTTTAAAAGTATGTTTTCTTTGACTGAATTTGTTAAATTTGCAATAATAATATGTCTTTTGTGAATACAAAATGAATAACTACATGTTTGGCTCCACTTGTAAAACGTAGATGTTATGTAATTAACCCAAGGGGAAAAAGCCAGTCAGTGCCAATTAAAATTGGTTTCTTATTTTCAAAATATATTAATTATAGTAACAGGAGCTAAGAACACTTACATATGCTGCATACATTAAGAGCTTTGCACCTCTGTTTTTCTGTTTCAGCTCAACTTCATCTTGTTTGTGAACATTGTAAGAGTGTTGGCCACGAAAATTCGAGAGACAAACGCAGGGAGATACGACACCAGGAAACAGTACAGGTTTGTTACTCAGCTGACTGACCTCTATAAAACCAGCAGACTACTTTATGTCCAGGGTTGGAGTTTAATGTAAATTGTCTACAGTGTTGGGAAAACTACATTAAAACTGTAATTTAAGCTACTTAACAATGAAAGCAGTTAAACTATATGTATATCTTAACTACTTTCAAACAAATTCAGCTTGTCAAAGTACAACTATTTTCAAAAAGTAGTTCAGCAACATCCATACTACATCACAGGAAATGATCACAATGATCTGAACTGACACTGAGTAAATTGTAGGTGTGTTTGATGTAGGGACTAATACATGCCAATCCTCATCTAGGCAGCCTGAGGATGTGTTTTAAGGAGATAATAATAAGCAGCTGTTGGGGTGGAATCGGAAAAATGGCCAACTTCTAGGGAAATTCATAATATGATTGCAGTTATCTTGGTTATAAACCAGATTTTGGTCAAATAGCAGATGATTGTAATCAAATGACAACTGTGGTCAGTGAGCTGTAGCATGGTGCCATATTATAAAGCACAAAACATCATGAGAATACTATGAATATGTAATTAACTACAAAAACTATATGACTGAAAGTATTTACTGAAAAAGGTACTGAGATTTAAATGTAATTTAACTGCCATCCAACTACTTCAAATTGTAGTTGAACTAGTAATTAAACTACATGTAGTTAACTACTTGGCAACACTGATTGTATGTTGCAAAATTGTGTTTTCAGTAAACACAATTAACAATTTAAATTGTTGAGTAAGGCCCGTGTCCAACAATTATTTTTTCCAGCTGAAAACAGCATGTGCTCCTCAGGAAATGCCCAGCTGGGAGCGTTTGAAAGCGCTTTTGAGGCGCAGCATTCTTTCAACTGAAATGGTCGTGTCTGGTTGCTATGATACGGAATATCCACAGAAAGTAAGCATGCCGGCACAAGGTAGAGCTTGCTTTGGATGATGGGAAGGCTAAAGCAAGTAGGGAGGGAAATTGGACCCGCAGGTCTGTGTGGGTTCATGAAAGGAAGCATATTATGTATATATATATATATATATACAGTACAGGCCAAAAGTTTGGACACACCTTCTCATTCAATGCGTTTTCTTTATTTTCATGACTATTTACATTGTAGATTCTCGCTGAAGGCATCAAAACTATGAATGAACACATGTGGAGTTATGTNGTGTAAGATGTGACAGTTTGTCTCTCTTCCACTGTTATTAAACGCCTGAAGTGACAATGACAAGTGCAGCATTTTTACCCAAAGTTTAACATTTTTCAACTGTCGGAGCTCAGAAAAAATGCCCAACCACAGTTGTATGTATAATGTTCTTATTTACCAAAGGAGGGGAAAGAATAAAATTTAAGTCAGCATAGACCAAGAACTGCCATTGTCAGCCACAACTTTTATATAGTGGGGATGCAAGTAGTTAAACCGTAAGATCAACAATCAAAGTCTTAGCCTTCGATTCATGCTTTTAACACACATTACATTTACTTTTTGTATGTTATCCCTATTTCACATTAGATTAGATACGATAATGTCCAGCAGATTGAATTCCTGACCACCATTCCTGTTTTATTAAAAATGTTACATACAAAGCAAATGTGTATACACAAATGGACCATTCCCTAACCTTTATCATTACATGGCTAAACCTTATACCTTAAACCAAGATTTAATCCTGCCATGTAATGAAAAAGTAGGCAAGTCCCCACAATGTACTGTGTAAACGAATGTCCCCACAATGTAAGTAATACATGTTCACACACACACACACACACACACACAGAAACATAATGTGTTCCAGCATTTTAACATCTGCAATTATCACTATTATTCTCGCCTGCTGGTGCTGGCCTCAATGCGTGAGATAAAAACATTCTAATTACAGTGTGTTTTCTAAGAAGAGCATTATATTGAATGCTGCAAGCGAGGTTGCTTTGTGTCGATTAGATGAGCGTATGCTTTGTCAGAAAAGATGATAGTGATCGGGTGCAGTAAACTGGAGGCCATGCTGAAAGATGAATGTAAGCCAAATACAGCATATAGACAGAAAAATATGAGAGATGTTATGGTGCCCAAATAGGAAGCAGATGAGGTATGATTGCGGTCAGCAAAACTGTTTTGAGAACTTGTAAAAGTAAATAGAACTTGCATTTTCAATGTTGAATAAACTTACCCACTAACAACATGATATCTCCAGTATCTTGCTAGAATTAAACTACAGTTTATTACTACTTAACATATTATAGCTGATAGTGTTGAAAAATGCCATTACATGTTTCCTTTACAAAGATATAGTGGTATGGTTTTTCAGTCACAGAGCATGGATATACCACTTAATTGGATGATTATAAAAAGCCAAACCCAGTACGTTTTGATGAATAATAATAGTCAGATGCCTTCAACCTGTTTACCATGGATGCTGTGGAAACAATTTAAAAAATGTAATTGCTGAAAAAAATTTCGAAACTGACTGCAAATTGCTTCTTGGATTGCATTACATTACCTCTGTTTTACCTGTGCTGAACGTTGTTTATTCTTTATTTTCACTTTTCAGCAGTTAAACTGCTAATAGAAGGGGTCAGGGAAATAGATTATTGTTTGACCTCATCTATTGGGGCAATCACTTATCTTATAGCCCTGTAAATAAAGAATTATCATCAATATGTATGCTATAAAGTATTATGATTTGGTTTCATTTGGCAATATTGAAATGTATGCAGATACTTAGCATTGTGGCCTGGCTGAAATAATGCTTTGATTGGAATTAACTGACATTCATTATGCTAACAGTAAACTGAAATTCACATGCATGTGATGGTTCAGAGCTGCTACAGAGAATTGCTGTCACTTGTGGAGGTAGCAGGAGACAGACCAGTTACCTCTCCCATGCAGAGTGGAATTGCTGCAACCCTGCTCAGTGACTGGAAACAGATGTGGTGAATGAATACATAGGCTCTACTTTCAGGTAGTTTACACTGTATCATACAGATATGGTTTCAAAACAAATAAGAGCATGGTCTTCCTCTTGTAATAAGTTGTGTTTGCCTGGAGTTGTTGTTAAAATCTTCCATGACTCCTCACAGGACTCCCAGCTGTGTTTGAATAGATGCAGCATTTCCTTTCAGGATGGATCATCATGCCAATAAAAACACCAACAACACAAGAAGACATGACAAGAAGCTGAAGTCCTCATGGGAGTGTCAATATCTCAATTCTTTCTGCACACCAACTGCAGAAAACTGTTTTCCAATCAGAATTTTCACTGCTGTCGTGTTGATTGCATGCCCCGAGCTGCCGCTAGATACAATCCAGACGGTCTCCATCAGTGAAAAGGAGGAAATGAAGAACCCTGCATTCTTTTCTCAGGAGGTCCGCCTGAGCTTTAGCTACGCTTGTGTGATGGCTGTGTGGCACTGACTCTGAGATTTGTTTGAACATGAAAGCCGTGTTTTGTGCAGTCGCATCTTAATCAGTCAGCTAGGACGAGATAAAGTTTAGCATTGTGTGTGTTTGCTCATCTACGTCAGACATTGTTTGAAAGGATCACTGTGCACACGTAACACACCCATTACCCCCTGTAGTGTGTTAATATCCAACGGATGCAGGATTAAAATGTATTATATTCTGCAGTGATTGGATTGTCAGAAGAGTAATGATTTTTTTTTTTTAAATTAAAGCACCCAAAGCAGCACATGATGATGTATAAGATTATGTATAATGACCAAAACTTAATTAAAACAGTGGTGACACCTCAACTAAAAATATGCCTGTAGCTGGAAAAAGTCCTTGGAGGAAAAGTTGTTTACCAAAGAAATTCAAACATCTGTCACTTCTTGATTTAGCTGACTAGAGTTAGCAAGTTAGCAAAATACCAAAAAGCTGTTATATGCTTTGGGAAATAGAGACCCGGATTTACTTTGTAGGATATATTTATAATACAGGTAAGCCTAAACAAAACGCTGGGGAAAAAAAGTCCCTGCTATTCAGTGTTGCAGTCTAGTAGTTACAGAGCTGAGGAAGCAGAGTAAATTCTCTCAAAATAATATTCCCTCAAGTTGTTTCCTGTACCCATTACAATCTGTGGAAAGGATGTCACCGTGGAAATGAAAATAAAAAAATCACTCAGTATCTAGGATGTTAGAAGCCATTAACCCAGTAACCACAAAACCAATGTGCTGATCATTTATCTCCCTAAACATATTTGCTTTTATTGTGTTGATGTGAAACTTAATTTGTTTGCAAAGACGGAAGCTCAAATTTCACACAATTTTGTTCAGCATTTACGCATATGAAGCTGGCCAAGTTCATACATTTGCAAAGTTATGCTATGTCATGTCTGCAGGTTGTTCTCTGACAAATAAACACCAGTTCCTTATCAAACTGCACATTTTCCAACCGTATAACATAAAACCTAAGTGTGTGCTAGTGGTATTTATTCAGGCAAATACACAAAGACTGCAGTGCAGTACATTGCAGAGATATGTTTTAAATTCTGCTGTTCATTATGTATTTCTGACATTATTTGCTTTTTATTCATCATTTATTTTCCAGTGATATTAAATATGTATTTACAATCATCTTCAATGATGAATCCTCCACATACATTGTGTATTGTAATTGTTTTATGTATAAAAATAAGGGGTTGGGGAAAAAGATCAATACTGTACATCATAGTATCACAATATTTTGTGTGGCAATATCATATCGATACACAGATGCCAAGTATCACAAATACAAATTCAACTTTTGGCAGCCTGCTAGATAATAATATCAATTGCTTTTTCAGTCAACTAGATACATTCTTCTGCAACAAAAATAATTTAAGATGAATAGACTGAAAACTTTATCTTATGAGATAAAACAGATGTTGGGAAAGTCTCCTTGGGGGGACATAACTCACAGTTTTTTTTAAAAAAAAAAAAAGGTAATGAATTTAAATATATCACAATATATGTTTTAACAATACTTGGCATACTGCAACATGTTTAAAATCCCAATAATATTGTATCATGGGGCCTCTGCTGATTCCCACCCCTAATAAGAATGTCAATAAATTGCCTAATTCAATTGTTAATAAATTGTTATCAAATACTGAAATAATTACTATGAGCCTCAAAAGTCCAAAGCAGCTGGGCTCTGCTCTGTACACATATTCAAGTATGTGTGTGTGTGTGTGTGTGTGTGTGTGTGTGTGTCTCCATAGGAAACTGGCAAAGTCCACCCTTGTGCTAGTGCTAGTGTTTGGCATCCACTACATCATCTTTGTTGGGATGCCTCTTACATTTGAGGGACCGAGCTGGGAGATCCGCATGTACTGTGAGCTGTTCTTCAACTCCTTTCAGGTGATCAGCACTTTTCAATTATCACAACACTGCAGCTGCTAATGCGTTATGTAAAAATCTCCCCTAAAAGGTCACTATTTGCCCTTATACAGCAAGCACTCATACAAGCATGAGCCAATCCAAGTTTGATTCTCGCATTCATAGATCAGGTAGTTAATTGATTTTCCGTCTTTCTACTGAAGTGGCTGAGTCATGCATAATTTAAATCGCTTTGGTGTCAACGTCTCAAATTCAGCATAGTCACTCAAACTGAATCTAAACAACAAAATATACAGTCTGTGTAATAAAGGCTGCAGTGTGTGCCTGCCACTGAGAGCTGGCTCATTACAACCTTTAACATTTCCATTTCACACTTGGTGACTGTCAGTGTCAGATTCAAGACTGCACTTCATTATTCTGTGAGGCATCTGGATAATGAGTTTGATTCTGTGTCATGATTCAACTCTGCCTAAGTTTAAATGAGCAATTTCATACTACGCGTAGGCACGACCTTTCCCTTATATTAACTAAAATACAGTTCATACCTTTATCAGAGTTTATTTTTAACCTTGGCCTACAAATCAGCAAATTAGATTACACCACAGGAGCCAAGAACAGTCACACATGCTCATTAAATAATTGCTCATTACATGTGAAATTCATTATAGAGCAAACATGTCTATCATACATGGGCTTTTAGATTTGTCTTAGACCACAGGAAAGGTTTATTGTACAAAGTCCACAGTATTCTTTTGCTATATGAAAAAGTGTTTTTCCATTACAATGAAAAATGGAATGAAAGACCCATGTAGCAAAGGCAATTACTGTCAACCACAGTGGAGCTCGTTCCATAGTACCACATCAGCAGATTAAATGCGTACTGTCATTAGCTCACACTTTTCTGGGCAGTTTTTATAATTATTATTTTTTATGCCTCCGCACCACAGCTGTGGCCAGAGATATGTTTATCAGGAGTCCATCTGTTCGTTCGTCCCATTCTGGTAAACACAATATCTTAGGATTGCCTTAAGGGAATTTCCTCAAATTTGGCACAAACATCCACCTGGACTCAAGGATGAAGTGATTGTAATTTGGTGATCAAAGGTCACTGTGACTTCACAAAACATGTTTCAGGTCACAATTCAAGTGTCTTTTGAGGGCGTTCGGTTGTCTTACAATGTTAGCAGCGTCCATCACGGGAAGTAAACTGAGCAGAGGTCTGTCACATGAGGTAGTGGGTAAGTCATGGGTCACACATAGACAGCTTAAAATGAAATTTACCGAAAGAGAAATCCATACACCAGCTGTCACTATTCATGGCTAATGGACAAAACATGATGTACTTCAGAGCTCACAGAGGTGTCTTCACAAATAGAAAGAAAGAATGACTCATATTGACTACGTTCACTGTGTAAAAACATATTTTTATAGACTGATTGAGATGACTAAATCCAATGACCCAAAGTGTGTGACCTATACATGATTATGTGCTGCTATTTCCTTAAATTAGACTGCAGATAGAGTTCATCTAATTCTTACTGAAATCTTATGACTACAGGTATTAATCACCCACACAGGAGTGAACTTAAATAACATCAGTTTTATTTTAATGTGTTTTTAAATGGCCGCTGGTTTAAATAAGTTTTATCTAAGTGAAACAAGTGAGTCAAACTTAGCAGACATGAAATGGTTTTGTAGTTTTTGAAAAAAATGTCTGTGTTTGCATTTGGGATGGTGGCCAGGGACATGACAAAAGCCCAGCTTAATGCTGAAATTGCAGCTGCATGACTCCATTTACCCCAGCATGAGCAGATTTGTTTGAAGCCATGTTATTGCCAAATGGACACAATTGCAAAAATATGAGAAGTGCTCGATGACAGTGACTTTGCACCTGTCTGAAAATAAAAGATGAAGAATAGATTTTAATTGTATATAATAGGAACTGTTTAATAAAGAGGAAAGAGCCAAATACAAGGTGGAACCCAGGCTCTATAACATATTATATAAGTATTGAACTGATGGCAAAAACAGCACAAGTAAGGCAACATTGACAAAGATGTTAACAGTGAGGAAAATCCAAAGTCACTGTGTTGCATCACATGCTTCTTTTCTCCCACCATCACAGCCAAATTTAACCAGATAAAAGAACAAGCCCGACTCTGCTCTACTGTCAGCAATATTGCATTATTTATCTCATGTCTTTCATCCAACACATGCAAAGCACCTAGAGATGAGAACCACATGTGCCTTCATGAAAAGATGATAATAAACAGACCTACTTGCATATGTCAACATAACAGTGCTCAGACTGAGACTTAAAAACAAACAAACAAACAAAAAAACAGTAGTTATTCCTTGGGGGCAATTTCTGAAAAATGTTAGATCAGAGTGCTCCCTTCTTAGATATACTATATTTACAAAAACAGCCCAGTGGCCAGAATTAAATAATGGTGCTGTACATTTCTGAAAACCATGGATCGGTTAGGTTCGGTTTGTATGTTTTGTATGCATGACGTAGTTCAGATTACATGTACAGTACAGGCCAAAAGTTTGGACACACCTTCTCATTCAATGCGTTTTCTTTATTTTCATGACTATTTACATTGTAGATTCTCACTGAAGGCATCAAAACTATGAATGAACACATGTGGAGTTATGTACTTAACAAAAAAAGGTGAAATAACTGAAAACATGTTTTATATTCTAGTTTCTTCAAAATAGCCACCCTTTGCTCTGATTACTGCTTTGCACACTCTTGGCATTCTCTCCATGAGCTTCAAGAGGTAGTCACCTGAAATGGTTTCCACTTCACAGGTGTGCCTTATCAGAGTTAATTAGTGGAATTTCTTGCTTTATCAATGGGGTTGGGACCATCAGTTGTGTTGTGCAGAAGTCAGGTTAATACACAGCCGACAGCCCTATTGGACAACTGTTAAAATTCATATTATGGCAAGAACCAATCAGCTAACTAAAGAAAAACGAGTGGCCATCATTACTTTAAGAAATGAAGGTCAGTCAGTCCGGAAAATTGCAAAAACTTTAAATGTGTCCCCAAGTGGAGTCGCAAAAACCATCAAGCGCTACAACGAAACTGGCACACATGAGGACTGACCCAGGAAAGGAAGACCAAGAGTCACCTCTGCTTCTGAGGATAAGTTCATCTGAGTCACCAGCCTCAGAAATCGCAAGTTAACAGCAGCTCAGATCAGAGACCAGATGAATGCCACAGAGTTCTAGCAGCAGACCCATCTCTAGAACAACTGTTAAGAGGAGACTGCGCGAATCAGGCCTTCATGGTCAAATAGCTGCTAGGAAACCACTGCTAAGGAGAGGCAACAAGCAGAAGAGATTTGTTTGGGCCAAGAAACACAAGGAATGGACATTAGACCAGTGGAAATCTGTGCTTTGGTCTGATGAGTCCAAATTTGAGATCTTTGGTTCCAACCGCCGTGTCTTTGTGAGACGCAGAAAAGGTGAACGGATGGATTCCACATGCCTGGTTCCCACTGTGAAGCATGGAGGAGGAGGTGTGATGGTGTGGGGGTGTTTTGCTGGTGACACTGTTGGGGATTTATTCAAAATTGAAGGCACACTGAACCAGCATGGCTACCACAGCATCCTGCAGCGACATGCCATCCCATCCGGTTTGCGTTTAGTTGGACGATCATTTATTTTTCAACAGGACAATGACCCCAAACACACCTCCAGGCTGTGTAAGGGCTATTTGACCAAGAAGGAGAGTGATGGAGTGCTGCGGCAGATGACCTGGCCTCCACAGTCACCGGACCTGAACCCAATCGAGATGGTTTGGGGTGAGCTGGACCGCAGAGTGAAGGCAAAGGGGCCAACAAGTGCTAAACACCTCTGGGAACTCCTTCAAGACTGTTGGAAAACCATTTCAGGTGACTACCTCTTGAAGCTCATGGAGAGAATGCCAAGAGTGTGCAAAGCAGTAATCAGAGCAAAGGGTGGCTATTTTGAAGAAACTAGAATATAAAACATGTTTTCAGTTATTTCACCTTTTTTTGTTAAGTACATAACTCCACGTGTTCATTCATAGTTTTGATGCCTTCAGTGAGAATCTACAATGTAAATAGTCATGAAAATAAAGAAAACGCATTGAATGAGAAGGTGTGTCCAAACTTTTGGCCTGTACTGTACATGAGTTGAGTTGTCAACAGGAGGAAAGTTTTTTCATAAGGAGAGATCCGGACATTTCCAGTCATCTTTGTGGTGACCAAACCTGGCATTCCAAGCCAAAATATATTTTGCTCACCCTAATCAAGTGTTTTTGTGCCTAACCCCAACTGCACATTAATCACAGCATTGTCACAACATAAAATTGAAAATTCAAATATAAGGAAGCAAAAAATTTCAACATAACTGCCTCATATTAAACATATGTGTGCGTGTGCTCAGGAACAGGTGCTACACAGACTAGATGTGTTCGCATGACTAGAGGAGCTAGATTGCATGTGCCAAAATTATTATTATATTTCAATTTGAATGATGTTTGACATCCAGTTGTCTCTTCACTGAAGCCACTCACACCCTGGGCAAATCATACATCTGCTTGTTGTCTGCTCTGTCATTTGCTGGCATAAAACTCTATTCTGATGGCAATGCTCCTGTAATGGAAGTCCCCTGTGTCAAAAGAGTTTTATAGATATAAAAAGCAGCTAGAAAACTGCCCTGGCTGTGTGGCCTCTCTGCACTGTTCATTAGCTACTGCAAATCTCTCCCAAAGACTAGCTGACCCATGGGCTAACCCCTACCCTTGCACTTTGACCTGATGACAAATTAACACACTTTTAAAAAAAAATCTTTTTCATATTATATTGCTGTTCAAAATTTTAGGTCAGTTAATACTGTGCTTTAGTTTCCAAAGACATTTCCACACATGCATGCACACACCTTCCCATAACCCATCATTTTCACAAAACCACTTTGTCTCTTCTTAAACTTCTTGTCATAGTGAGAGGCAGGAACATGAGGTGAAGCAGGTCAGAACAAAAAACAGCCAGGGAAATTACCATCACTTCCTTTCTTGTTCTTTACAAGACAAACATCATTTGAGACCAAGAGATAGTCATTGGTCTGGAACATCCTTATCATCCTGTCTTCATAATAGATAGTGTGGTTATTGGATTCAGATGAGAATGACATTTGATCAGTTGTTGTAATCATCACATGATTGTTTTCACTTCCTTCCACTGAGATCTGAGCTCACAACTTTGTCAATTGTCAATTTCTTCCTTTCAGGGTTTCTTTGTGTCCATCATCTACTGCTACTGCAATGGCGAGGTGAGTGGATCACTTTTTTCAAATGGCACTGATCACAAAGAAGTGGCACAACCACAGCAAAACTAGCAAATTAAAAATGGAAAACTAACAAAGTGCTTGAATTAAACTTCAGTTTGGTGACAAATCAATTGTAGCCTCTGAAAAAGGGGAAAATTACTACAGTAATTACACACGTAATTGATGGTCTGACTGAACAAGTAAAAAAGTGTCATTAGCTACTTGTCTTTTTACTTTCTACTTCAATTGTGTCTTGCCTTCTCAAATTAAATGTGATGAAAAGGGCTGTCATGAGATCAGTGATTCTCTCTGTCTCCCTTCACTGTCTCATACATTTTGTACTCAGCACTTCCAATTGGCATTCAGCATAGCCATTTCGGCCAGTTTTATCTTCACAAAGCTCCCTATGGTCTTTCTGCCTTTTCTCTTTTGCCTTTTGTAAACCACATTGTATTCTGTGCAACACTCCTGTCACCCTCCAGGACCTTTCAGAAGTTCTACAACAAACAACTCAAAACAACTCAAAATAGAACACATAAAACAACATTCTGTTGAATCTCAGCTCCATAAAGCATCATTTTGTTATCAACACTGGACCAAATGACTCATGTAATGTGAAAGGGTCTCAGCCAACACGTACAATTAGCACCCTACTCTGCAGCTCTGCACAGCTTTAACCTGCTCTAAATACATTGCTTTAGTAATTTGACCCACACATGCAGGGTATAGTTGACACTAGAATAGAGAACAGTAGACAGCTGTGTCCAGTGAACAAGCTCAGAGTGTTTGCTACCTGCCATTACATTAAGTGGTGAAAGTGCTGAAAATCCGGAATATGAATACAAACATTTAGCCTGTTCAAAAATTTGCTGTTGTTTTGAAAGAGCTGGAGGAGACAAAACCAGAGCTAGAAGGCAAGTCAGTGTTGGACTTAGACCAATCAGCTAAAACATTAAACCACTGACAGGTGAAGTGAATAACTTTGATTATTTTGTTCCAATGCCTTGATCTGCTGGGAAACCTTTGGCTCTGGCATTTATGTGGATACCACCTGACATGTTCCACCAACTCAAACACCACTGCAGATCAAGTAACCAGTGGCCCCCCAGTTTCTGCTGGGGGGCCACTGCCATTGGGAATACTGTTGCCATGAGAGGGGGTACTTGGTCTGCACTGGTGTTTGAGTGGGTGGAACATGTCAAGTGGTATCCACGTGAATGCCAGAACCAAATGTTTCCCAGCAGAACAATGCACTGGAACAAAATAATCAAAGTTATTCACTTCACCCGTCAGTGGTTTTCATGTTTTGGCTGATCGGTGTACACTACTACATTATAAGTCATGTAGCCAAAAACATGTCTTCAGCGGGATGCTTATGTTGATCTGTGTTCAACAGAAGGCAGTTGCTTGCTGATTTATTGACATTTTGTCATAGCACAGCAGTTTTTACTAGGGCTGGGTTGGTATGAGGAAAGAAAAAAAAAAACGGTCCGGTTTTTGTGAAAAACCACATCAAGTCGGTAATACAGAAAAACGACCATAGGGCAACAGAGTGACATTAAAGAGGCAACAGATGGGGTTCGGGTTTTTTTTAGCTTGGCGCCACCTAGCTTCAGCGGTGTTGCTCGTACTGTTGCAAAGACCAAATTGACCGTGGGGATCAGAGATAATCAATAAAATGTAGGCTGTAAAGCCACCAGTATACCTCTATGTATATGTAGAATGAGAAGGTGTGTGGACACTATACTAAATAAATGAGTAAAGAGACTGAGCAACAATTATCAGATTTATCTGAAGAAAAAACGAATAGTAATGCAAATAATTATACCAGAATGCACAGTACCAGTACAAACAACTCATAGTAAATTATACCAATTTGTACAGTACCAGAACAAACAACTCACAGTAAATTATACCAATATGTACAGTATCAGTACAAACAACGGGGTAATCACTGTCCGAGGGCTGCCGTAGAATGGCAACGAGGATGTCAGCCGACCAACACTCGCTACCCGGTCCCTGGTTGCGGTGATTTGCGATGCTGGCCAGCTAGGAATTAACTAGCAACCAGTACAATACAGTCCTCTCTGGTCTAGCTAACATTTAGCCGTGTTACTTACTGATCCATTAGAAAGAAAGCTAGCTGGACACCGGTGTTGAAGCCTCTTTGGTCACAGAGCTCCCTCCATCTCTTGAACGCCTGGCTGAGGTTTCCTCTTGTTTTTCCTCTTCTTTTATCACTCTCCTTTTTGCTCTTCTTTGCCTCCTCAGACAGAGGAGCTTGTTTTCTTTTGGGAAGCCGTTTTTCACTTATCTCCAAACTTTGTCCGTCTGCCATTGTGCTCGTGACTCAACTATCTCATGCCCCGGCCAGTTCCTCATAAGGACCAGCTCCAGTCCCTGATTGGCTGATCGACCAGTTTGGCAGTATATGACGCATTTCCTGCTGTGAAGCAGATTTTTTCCGCGAAAATTCATCCCCGGTGGCAGAAGCTTATTGCACAGCCACTAAGTAACCTATGTAAACGCTGATAGTCTGATTTTACTGTGTATACTACCCTGTGCAACCCACATTATTTTCATAATAATATATATAGGCAAAAATGCTGTCACACATTGTTTCTTTTATTCCTTACAAATAAATTTGCAGGTTTAGCTTACTCAGTCAGTGCAAACAAGGGTTGCCTCTTTCGTCTGGCTTAAAGCCCAAGTGTTGCCATATTGGCGCATTCTTTGATTTCTTCAAGACTAAATTGTCCGCCATTATCGACTCCCCCATCACTGTTAAACAAACTCCAGGCTACAATAGAGGCCTCAGCGCATGCGCACTCGCACCCCTTAGCTCAGTCCCCGCCCCACCCCCCTCTCTCTCCTGCTCGCTGTACGCATGGTGAAGAGGCAGACACAGGTGCTCACAGACTCAGGCATACTGTAACGCTGGATTTCCACTGGATGCGTGTCCGTTGCAGAACCGCAGCGCAGGTTATCCGCTGCGTGTTCCACCGTCCGTCAATACCCACCGACTGCGTTTGCTGTGCAGAGCGGTGCAGCTCCGTCGGAAGACATCTCGGTGCACTGCCGTGATTAATATCTCCTTGTCCATGGTGTTCACGGGGTGAAATGACGTCTGAAAACCTCTGACCTGTTGACTTCAGGCCTGCCTCTGCCCATTATGTAGTTTTCAAGGTGTAGTGCAGGGAAATATGATCTGCGTGAACACTGTGTATTTTGTTTTGAAAATTAACCGGATGTTTTATCGTGTTTCTGTGCACGACTTCCTGCCCCGCACGATCTGCTCTGTGCTGAATTGTTGCGTTGTGCTCCGACGTCCGGCAAAAATAGAAGTCCTGCGTATCTGATGCGGAGGGCTCCGGACTGCCGGAGCTGTGACGGAGCCGGAACGCAGCACAGCCGCAGCTGGTGGAAACAAACACATTGACTAGAATTGAATCCTATCGGATCCTGCCGTGCTGGAGCAGAGACGCAACCAACACGCATCTGGTGGAAATAGGCTGTAAGCGGAGCAGACTCTGCAAGGAATGTCTGCAGTCATTCGGGCTTCCATAGTCAAGCACACTTCCGCGTTGTAGTTTCCTAAAAATCCCCACAATGTGAAAAATAAATGCCGAGCAGTCTTTTGTGTGATACTTGTGTCCGGAGTGGAGTCCGCGCGGTCGTAAAATCTGAGCTTTGCACACACAGGGCTTGTGGATGTCTGCTTTTAGTCTGGGCGGACCTCTGCGGAGTCCGCTCCGTGTACGTTCCGCCTGAGTACAGGCTGTCCAAGACGGAGTACCGAACCGAATTGGTATTACCGAGAACCGACCCATCCCTAGTTTTTACATTTTGAATTGGCTGAATTACAGTTCCTGCAGCAAGTAACATCAGTCTACACTGACACGCAAGAAATTAAAACAAATGATTTTTGATTTTGCAAGATGATTTTTTATATTTATAGCCTTTGTTCTTCCCATCCTCACAGGTCCAGGCAGAGATAAAGAAAACATGGACACGCTGGAACCTGGCCTTTGAGTGGGAGGGCCCAGTGGTCTGCGGCCGCTATCGTTATGGCTCAGTTGTTGTCGGCATCAACAACAACAGCACAAGCAGCCAGTCCCACCTGGCAGGGGGTGGTCCTTCCACCCGCTCCACCACACTTGTTTCAAGCCGTGTTTATCGGAGCACAGCTCCCCCCATGGTCAACATGCACGCCACCCTCCCGGGATATGTGATTAGTAACTCAGACCCATCCATACCTGAAGAACCTGAGGACAGTGGCCCAAAGCGGGTGGACGATATCTCGCTGAAGGAAAATCTGCCTGTACTTAGCACCAGTGCAACAGCTGAGGATGAGGAGGAAACACTGTAGCCATCGTCTAATGTGGCAAAAAAAAAAAAAAAAAAAAAATGTTTTTGGTGAGCTGTGCCACCACTTTTAAAGAGGGTATCAATGGCAAACAATTTTTGGCTGTTATGCAAGAAATGGGAAAATGTCTTGAACAGCCTCACAAAAAAGAACATAAAATACAAGGGTCAAAAGATAGAAAACATCAAGGCCAACTGATGGTTTAACACAGACCGTGAACCTGAGCGGCCAGTATTAAAAGCAAATCCAGAACTACACTTTTCATTCACCATGTAAACATTTTTAGCCTTGGTGTTACATGTTGTTGATTACTCGTGGAGATTGTTTGCATAAATATATGTATTGTAGGAGTGTAAGGGTGCCAAAAGGTCACTGGAAGAATGAAACACATTTGAAATGATGCATTTGAATGAGCTTGGCTGCTGCATTGACCTTCTAGCTTAAGACAATCATTTATCACCTTCAGAACCTCTCAGGGAGGGCAATGCCATTGTGCTCTCTGTTGTTAAGAATAGAAATTATGCTGTTGCTTAGACTGTCTGACTTTATGAGAAGTAGGTGCAAATCTGCTATTGTGATGCTGAATACCACAACTGAGGAAAGTGTTAAACCATAGTTGGTAAAAAAAAAAAAAGCACACTGTATGTTTAAACTCGGGGAAACGGGCGGTAAGAAAAAAGTTTTTTTTTTTTTATTTGTTTGTTTTTTTTCTAAATATGGGTACCACCATTTTCTTAGCTGTAAAAGAAAACACTTGGAATGTGTATACATGATGAACCTATGTTGTTGCCAACAAAGGTTCACTTAATTTGAACATTGAACGTGTACAGTACATTACTGTAATTTCCTTCCCATATTCCAAAGTTACGTATACAATGTAATTTACTGGAGTTTCTAACCCTCCTGTTGGCTGAATTTTAACTCCAGCTGGTGACAGTATCTCTCATGCAAGAGGACACCGTGTTCTGATGAATCCTTGTCTTGGACTAATTAAGTGTCATGGTGACAGGCTTGCTTGTACAGTCAGCCCACTTTGTGAAGAGAAACTTCCAAGCCAGTGGAACTGAGTGAAATGTATGCAGATCTTTTTTCTGTTTCATATTACCTTGAACTGCTGACTTGTGGATACACTTGCTATGTTTACAGTACTGCTTGTAAGCAAGGCCACAACAATTGTCACAGGCAGTAACCATTTTTATAGGACATAGAAAGTGACATTATGACTGTATTAAAATCCTAATTTTTGTATTTTCAAGAATCACCTTTGTGCTGACTGTGAAGGGCTACATTTGGTGGCTGCTTAAAGGTTTTGTGTCTGCTTTGTGCATGCATATTTGTCAGTGCATTAGATGGGGTGTATGGATCTTGTACACGTGCCTCTCCTGCTCCAGCAGACGCTTTTAAGAAGTCAACTTGAAAGGATTCTTTTCAGTCTTGTCCGTGTGTGTGCCAAATGCATTAGGCTGTTTTTCTGTGTGATATTTGTTTGTCCTCTCCTTCCCTTCTTCCTCCATGTTTCCTCCCTCCCGGTTTCCCTGTTAACTGCTGATAAAAGTTCAATGTTTTCAACAACTACCTGTTGAAGTGCTTTTTGATATTCCAGCTGTCAACTGATTGGATGTGCTGGACAAAGTATTTTTCCACATTTCATTTGAAAACAAAACAACAACAACAACAACAACAACAACAACAACAACAAAACTAATGAGGAATGTAAAGGAATTAGTAGTCAATATTGTCATATGGTATATAATAACATTGTTATGCATAGTAAAATATGCATAATGTGATGGTTTTGTGAGTGTGTGTGTGTGTGTGTGTGTGTGTGTGTGTGTGTGTGTGTGTGTGCGCATGTGCGCTAGTGGGCGTACTCTAGTAAGTTCAGCTTGTGTATGTCACAATGTGAATAGAGCGCAGAAACTATGGTGGTTGTTTGTTACCATGTAGTGGTTAATCCTACCTCTTATTCAAATGATGACATTAAAGATGTAACAATTATTGGAAGATTAAGTTTTATTGACGTTCACATATGCTACGGGCAATTTTGCAGTTGCCAATTGCATGTCTCTGGAGTGTGGGAGGAAACAGAAGCAGAAGGTCTGGACCCCCCCTTCTTTGGAAAAACAATATATCATTTTAGGAAACTATACAATTTTAAATTATATAATAATAAAAACTGAAAGGACTTGTGCCAATTATATACGCAACATGATGCATTTTTAACTTTAAAAAGATTGCATCCTCGCCCATCATCTGCCTCGCAATGGTTTGGTCCAGACATGTCAGACACCTTTATTTACTTCTACTTTTCAAAAGAACAAAACACGTTACCAGTTGTAACCAGACAGCGTTTTGTTGACTTCATTACCTCACGGTGTAATCTTCTGCGTGAATGCAGCAGTCATACAAACAGCCCAGCTGCTAAAAATCATTCAAACTCAAAGAATTTTGGACCAATTTTAGTGCAGTTTGGATTGTTAGAATTTACAGAGGTGTGTTTACAAAAGGGAATACTGCATTCTCATACCAATTTTTTTATCTTTTGCAAATGATAACTGTAATATTTCTATATTTAAAATCAAATTTAAATTGAAAATCAAACATCTTAAATGATTAAGTTCCAAGTATATTTTTCCTGCATTTGAAGTTGTTGCCATGGTGTGATTTTGTTTATAGTCTTTTAAATAAATGAAGACTTGATATAATTACAGCGAACATCAAGTGTCTGGCAGCCTTCATAATAATGCGTGTGTTGTTGTTTTTTACATTGACAGTAAAACAAATAAATTTGCTTCTTTGGGAAAATTAAATTCAATTAGGCATATATTAGCTTTAATTCAGTTAACAGATTTTGTCTCTCTCCTACTACTGTAAATAACCAGCATGGCGTGTGTGTGTGTTTGTGTGTGTATGTGTGTCCTATTTATTGGCCATTAAGGTCAGCAGAATTGGCAGAAAAAAGAAAAACCAACATCCGATCACTTTTCAGTGCACCAAAACACCAAGTAAGTAGAGAGACCCTGTAGTATGAAAGGCAATTTAATAAATATTTTTAAAAAAGTCATACATAACATACTAAAAACATTCACATAGGGGCTACTGTATTGAGGAGGGATGCTGTTCTAAACATTATTATTACTTTTAATATAATTATTAAATACATTTGACCATGCGGGTTCCATGTTGGCACAAACTGGCACATTCTTTTTAAGAGTGTGTATTCATCTAGGAAAAAAAAAAGATTTTTTTTGCTTTGCAGATCCAAACTGTTGGCGAAGTTCTCTATAGGTGGGGATGTGGATGTTTGTCACGTCCCAAAGTCCTCTCTCTCAGACATTCCGACATCCCATTAAAGTCCATGTCAAATACTGATGTCTTAGCAGAGATATTCCAGAAGCTTGCCGAGAAATAAAACGAAAAAGGTCTTATCTCAGTGGGGTAGCTCCTCTGCAGAACTGACAAGAGGCTCTACAAATTGATAGATTGAGCACTCAAAACTCTGATAAAGAGATGGTTGTTTTTCAATTGGCAATGAACTCCTCAGTCTCCTGGTGTGGGCTGGAACCCATAGGGAATTCACTGTCTGGGCCTTCCTGATCCTCAATTGACTCAAGCTGGTTGTTACTGACCAAGTATCTGTCAAGATATGGACCATGCAGAAAACCATATCTTTTATGTAAGATTCACTGGATGTTTCCAGTTCAGCAGACTCCTTTGACTGTGGGGAAGTAGGATGCCCGAATGATTTCACCTAATGCACGTTCACCCTTTTCGTCATCTGTGCTGCCATCAACTCCAGTGTGTTTCAGAGTAGTGGGACCTCGTCTGTGCGACTCCTAGCATCACACCAAAACATGAAATGAATTCCCCAGGCTGGCTTGGATATCTTCCTCTGTCATACTGGAATAATTACACTCCCTCTGCGCAATACTGTTTCTTAAAAAGACAGTCAGTCACTGTAGGAAATATTGATTGTTACATAATTTATAATTTATTCTGTGGCAGCATTTATTAAATAAATGCTCACTGACATTCTCCACCATTTTGTATGAAAAGTTTGATTGATATGATTCATTTAGGGTGTGCATTCTCCACCATTACATATGTAAGATTTGTTTGATTATGAACAGTTTATTCAGGTGCCTACATTTTTCACCATAAATACTGTAGGGTTTGAGTAGCTCAATATTAGGAAAAAAGTGATGTTAATTAAGCAATATCACACGAGAGGGAGTGATGTTATACTCGTATATCATCACGGCTGTGATTTGGTCATAGGCACGAGGCCGTGAAAAGCACAATTCAACAGCTGAGCGGCATGGGAAGCAAAGAGGGAAACATCTGAAAACTTAGGGGAAATCCTAGTTTTATCTAATACTCCCTACCATACTTATTAAACTACGCATCAAACCCCAGCACAGGAAAATTATGTTGTTTCACCTGAATTGTAGCAGACCAGAAAGAAGATGCTCTGGAGGGGGGAAGAGGAAAAAGCAGCGCTGCTCCTTGGTGTGAACCGCTCCTGGTGCTGTCCCACGGGGCAGCCTGCTCAGCTGGTCCTTCTCTTCTCCTCGGTCGAACTTCTTGGAGCCCTCGGGCACTTTTGGGCGTTCCTGAGCCCACATGGCAACTTTGACTCGGGTGAGCTTGGCCCTCCATGTCGGTCATCTTCACACACCCAGTGTGGGCATGCAGGAGTCTGCCTTTCTTTTTGACCTTGTTGGTCAAAAAGTCTCTTCTCATCTTATAGTTGTCCAAAGGGGTTGAGACTGGCAGGCAGGCTCCGGCCTCTGTGCTGTGATTGGCCTTGCCAGCTGTCTGTCTCAGGCTGATGTCCAGTAGGAGCAGTTCACTGTCACTGGCGGGACATTTCACTCCTCCCCTCCTGTACCTTTGCTAGTTTAAAGTTTAATTTACTTTAATTGCTTCCTAGATAGTTAATGAAGCTTGGAACATTTCTAATGCTTCCTTATTTACCAACGTGCCGCTGTCTGCTATTGAAT